CATTCTTCACAATGTTGTCCAAAGTTTGTTATGATCCACGCAGTCGAATGCCTTTGCATTTGAATCCTGGTGTGGTGCTGTAGGATAGACACTAGACCATGAGGTCAGCTTGAACCACAAGGTCTGTGATTCAAACTCACCAGTTGCTCCTCAGAAATCCTATACAGGGCTGCTATAAATTGGAACCAACTCAACGGTACTTAATAACGGCAACAACAAACATCTTTCTTTTATTTTCTGCCTTCTATTAAGATCCCTCTGATATCGGTAATGATATCCCTTGTACCACATCCTCTTCTGAATCTAGCTTGAATTTCTGCAAGCTCCCTGTTGATGTGCAACTCCAACCGTTTTTCAATCATCTTCAGCAAAATTTTACTTGTGTGTGATATTGATATTGTTCAATGATTTCCACATTCTGTTGTGTCATCTTTTTTTTGGAATGGGTACAAATATGAATCTCTTCCATTCAGTTGGCCTGAAAGCTGTCTTGAAAATTTCTTAGCATAGACTAATGAGTGCTTCCAGTGCTGCATAGTTTGTTGAAACATTTCAACTGTCTTCTGTCAATTCCTGAAGTCTTGCTTTTCACTAATGCCTTCAGTGCAGCTTGGACTTCGTCCCTCAAAACCACTGGTTCTTGATCATATGCTAGCTCCTAAAATGGTTGAACGATAATCAGCTCTTTTTGGTACAATGACTTGTGCATTCCTTTCATCTTTGTGTGCTTCATGAGTTGTTCAATATTTTCCCCCAAAGAATTCTTGGATTTTGTGTTCTTTCCTTTTGGGTTTTTAACTTTAGGTCTTTGCACATTTTATTAAAAGACCTTATTTTGCTTTCTTGAGCTGTCATTTGAAAATTTCTACTCATCTCTTTTACTTCATCATTTCTTCCAGTCACTTCAACTTCTCTATATTCAAGAGCAAGATTCAGACTCTTCTGCAATCACTTTATTCTTTTATTTTCTGCCTTTTTACTATCTTTTGCTTTCTACATGTGATATTTTTGCCATCCTACAATTCTTCCGGTCTTCAATCATTAGTGTTCATTGAGTCAAACCTGTTCTTGAGATGGTCTCTAAATCAGGTAGGATCTATTCAGGTTATCAGCAAATGAAGGTCCCAAAAGCTTTACTCCATCCATGTCATTCAAGTCAAGTCTACTTTGAGGAAGCAGCTCTTCCTCAGACATACTTTGATGGCCTTCCAAACTGAGGGGCGCATCTTTTGGAATTATACCAAACAATGTTTCCCTGTGATTCATAGGTTTTTAGGGGCTAATGCCTGAGACGTGGACTGACTAGTCTTTCTTCTTAGTGTGTTTTTAGTGTAGAAGCTCTGCTGAAGCCTGTCCATCATGGATGACTCTACTTGTATTTGAAACAGCAGTGAAATAGCTTCTAGCATCAAAGCAACATGCAAGCCACCACAGTCTGGAAGACTGATAGATGTGTGGTATGCTACTTCATAGTAATTCTAAATACTTGTTGTTAAGTGTCACTGAGGTGGTCCCAACTCATAGCGACCTTGTATAGGGTTTCCGAGGAGCAACTGGTGAGTGTGAACCACCAACTTTGAGATTCAAACAACTTTGTAGTCCAGTGCTTATCCTATAGCACCACATCAGGAGTCCATTCTAAATACCAGGGGACTACAAAAAAGTTCATGGAAAAATTATATTAAAACATAATGAAAAATTTCCATGAACTTTTTGAAGCCCCCTCATTTTCACACAGCAAAACATAAAACTTCTTCAGAAGTTTTCTTTAACATGTTAACAAGAAAAACAAACATTTTTTTTTTCCCATACTAACTTTAGTGAGGGGGTGAAGAATGCAATTCTATTATATGAATGAGTCAAGAATTCCTTCAAGTACTTTGCTGTTGAATAGGTTCCCAATTCGTGACAACCACAGGTACAAAGAAAGAAAAACACTGTTGTACGCTGTGGGCTAATGCATCAGACTGCAAAGTTGTTTGAATTGCAAGGTCGGTGGTTCAAGCTCACCAGCTGCTCCTTGAAAACCTTATACAGGGTCAGAATTGACTCAA